ACACTGTGCTGCTCCTTCTGTTTCTGAAATACAATGATAGGAATGACAATGTACTCACACATGATGCTGCATCCTCAATTATGTTTGGTATCAAAAACATTTCTGTAAATAATATTGATAAAAATGACTACTAAAAGTATAAAATTTAAGCTATCTTATCAAAGGCAAAATGAATGGTATCTTTCTTCCAAAGAGACTTGCATAGTTCTTGCACTCATTTATCTACTGCAAAGGTTTTGATTGTGAATTTTAAGTTTTCTTTCACTAATAGTTTGAAGCAATTACCATTTTTTCCATCATTAACACTCCAACCCCATTACATGGGTAATTGCTTTCCCTCTCATATTGTCTACCTAATCAAGCCAAGTTAAATGAACAGAAATCACGTTCAAGTTATTTTCTGTTCTATCTTAGACATGAAGAAGGATTTGAACTCTTTAAAATGTGCACATTTCATCCAACTATATCAGTTAATCTCAAAAAGAAAATTCCACACTCCACTTATTTCAGATTTTTCATTCAAATGCCATGGTTGGGCTATTAATACTCCCTCCTCAATGATGCTCCCTCCTCAGAACATGCACAAGACTAGAAGCATAAAAGGGTGCAATTAAAGTGAAAGAAAATTTGCTGCAGCAGGTAAATATGTGATGAAATATAAATTTCCTCCATATTGAAAATATTTTCTCACTTATATATGTCAGTTTCTGAAATGACAGTGATGCAATAACTGTACAGCTGAACTAGAGAAGAATAAAGTTCAGTAGAATCCTAGATATTTACTTTTAATAAATAAATGTTATTTCCTGTTATGACTGTCAGCTGCCTGAAAAATGCGATCTGTAAGGAATACAATCAGCATACACTTAAAACAATTGGTACTATTTTTTTTTAATTTTTTTTATTTTTTTCTCTCCACAGTTTGAAAAGAAACTGCAAAGAAAGATGAGAGAGGCAATGCTGAACATAATAAAGACTTTTTAACAAGGCATCTTGCCTCAAGGAGGTGTTGCACTCTACGGGTTCCACCACAATTTATTGGTAGGGAGGAAATGTGGAAAACTGTATAGTAAGGGACTGCTAGTAGTACTACATGACACAGAAGAAAGAAGCAACAAAAATATATTTTGTCTTGCATACTACTATATCACTAAGTCAGGAATTTTCTCTCCTTGGACCCTGTTTATATAAATCTCACCATGGCTACAGATGCAGCAGAATTACACTAACCTTATGTCTGCTTTTGAGATAAACAGGCTACCTAGTTATATCATTTTCTGTGCCATATTTTAAAGATTCCTGCTTTAGGAAGGAAAATACAGTAAATTCTGTAGTCTGTAGATTTATCTTTAGTTTATCTTGAAAATAATTCTGCTACCATACTCCGGCATAAAACACAAATTTTGTGAATATTAGAGACCAAGTTTCAGAGAATCTCACTGATCTAGATCTGACATTCCTGGTGCAGTTATAGGAGAACAATAGACAAACTAGCAGTGTAGGTACAACAGTGGGAGTCAGGTCATAAACTGCCAGCCATGCTATACTTCTACCCCTGTCACAGACAAAAGACAACATGTTGATTTATTAGAAGAGGTCCAGAGGAGGGCGACAAAGATGATCAGAGGGCTGGAGCACCTCTTCTATGAAGACAGGCTGAGGGAGCTGGGGCTGTTCAGCCGACAGAAGAGAAGTCTTTGGGGTGACCTTATTGTAACTTTTCAGTACTTAAAGGAGGCTTACAAAAAAAGGAGAGCAACTCCAAGGGATGGTGGCATCCATGCCCACGGCAGGGGGGTTAGAACTAGGTGATCTTTTAGGTTCTTTCCAAACCAAGGCATGCTGTGATTGTATGACCACATCTGAGGTCTGATGATGTGGCCTAAATATTAAGGGCAAGCTCTATCCTTTTAAGTATTTGCAGCTGTATTTCTGAAAAATATGATTTCTGGAGAATAAACATCAGCAGTTGCAATTGTTCAGACATATTACTTGTGGCAAGACAGCATATGCTAGGCATAGAAGAGTGCTATAAATGTCCTGCCAGCTTCACCCACAGACACTCACTTCAGAGTTCCCATCTGCAGAATTGTAAACACAAGTCTAACTTTGTTTTCTCTGAAACCGAACTCTGACAACACTACCTACATTAGAAAGGAGAACCGGGCTGAAATTAAGCTCAAATATGTATTGATTTATTCTACCCTCTAGACAGCTGGCCCCTCAAAAAACTGTATTTATCAAAACAGCCTGTCATCAGAAAGATGCATGACTAGCCATTAAAGTGTCACTCAAGTGACAGCATGACTGCACTTGGAGCATGGCCTATTTGTCATTAGTAAGCTGAGCTTGATTACTAGCTTTACTAAACGCTTTGTCAAGTATTCTGTCCATAATGTCAAATGTTTTCTTACACAGTGTAGGCAGGACAGGAGGGATGGCCTGGATAACTTCATTTCCATCTAGTACTGCTGAGGGAAAACAACCACATCACTTGGAATTAATTACTTTAACAACCTACTTTTTCCTGCTCATACATCTGCGGATTAATAAGAGCAATAATATACCAGAAAGAATGCTGTCCAGCAAATAATAATCTCTCTCAGATGCTGGAGGCAATGGGAGTTCAGTTCAGCTGTGCTCTCCATTCTAGACAGTTGCTTCCTAGATGTTGTCTAAAGATGCATTTGTTTTGCAACCATGTTCTTTTTATTTGCTAAAGCAAAAAGGGGTCATAAGATCGCTATTTTTAAATAGACCAATTTCACAAATTTGCCACTAATGTGGCTGAATGGAAGAAATAAAGATTGTTTGCATGTATGCTTGTGTGGGTGGGGTATCCATGCAACCTACTGAGCTGCTCCAGGGCCACAGCTGCAGCTGGCTGGTCAATACACACTCACACACTTTCAACAGTATCATCCATGGCCTGTCTTGAGCTTAGGCTGCCTGTTTCGCTATCTCACCACGTACACAGCAGAGTTTGGTGCCTCTCTCCTACATCAGTGCCCTTACTACTAGGGTACCTCACTACAGAAGACCACACATAATTGCACAGTGCGAAGTCATGGTGCCAGCAAAACAGCAGAAAGGAGGTACATTATACATCAAATAAATGCTGTAAGAACAACAGAAACAACAAAAGTAGTAGACTGCACAAGGCATCTACCACAAACCCTACGAACTGTCACTTTCCATGAGACAAAAGCCTACTGCATCCTACTTGAATGGGGGAGCCCACTTATGGCCGAGTGAGGACAGCTTTCCTTTCCCACAGCCCAAGCACATGTCTGCCTTGAAGTGGCTGCACAGAGATCTCCTTTGCTCCCCCTCCAGCATTTAAATAGACAGGGACACCACGTTTGCATATACACTCTGGTGCTACACTAGCAATAGAGACAGGCAATCAATGTATATAATAAGACTAGGTGTCTTGGATTTCTTAATGGTTACCTTGAGGCAATTTCCTGATCAGCATGTAGACTTTCTGCTCTTCAGAACCTCCACTGCTTAAAATTGAAGCATATAGTACAATCTGGCTTGCCCTGTTAGGACTGTGTATATCTTTGGTAGTTGTTTATAATTAATTTTTAAAATTAACTAAAAAAATGACTATGACAAACTAATATAGTCTCTACAAATGAAAGAAGACAAAACAAGGCTAGGAAAATAATGGAATTCTTGTTATTATCTTAACGATTTTTTTACAGTGTACTATAACAATATACTAAAAAACTTCACTTGGATTTTATGTTTCTTAATAAACATTCACTTTCAGTTTTTCTTACATTTGAAGATAGCATAGATTGTAAAAGATTAATACATCTCACAGTTACTTGGGGCAGAAAAAAAGTAAAAAATAAAGCCAGGGGAGGAATTGCATGTGTTCTTCACTTAAACCAGCAAAATGAAAGGAAGACTTTTTGGAACGATTGCCTTGTATGTTGCCATTTACTCTCAGTGTGTTTACGAGTTTTTGGTGAATATATAAAAAATCTACAGAAAAGAGCTTGACAATATTTCATCTGAGATCGTCACCTCTACCTTGTAGCTAGCAAATCTCTACTGGATTTCAGAATTATATAACACATTGCCTCTCATGGTGTTACATTCAGTAAAAGGTTTATGAACATAAATAACTGCATCTTCTTATCTTACAATTCAAAATCTAACACAAACTGTAACACATCTGAAAGGCAGTGGTTCAACAGCTGAGCACTATTTACTGCTCTTGGCCTACAGAATGATCACTGATCGTTTCCAAGCAGCTGGCTTACTCTCAGCACTGAAAACCTTCAGCTATTTCTTCAGATGTCATAGTTCCTCTGCTTCAAGCAAAGACCGGAGGCCTTAAAGAAACCAGGAGGACACAGACAACTTATCATGTAAAAATAGGAGGAACAAATGAGCTGCCCAAACACCAGCAGAGAGAAAAATGTCTTGGGAAACAAGCAAAACAAAAAAGCAGCAACATGCTCCTCAGGTAAGCCAGAAGACCTGAGATTTAGATAACATGGACAATATAATGAGATGCAAGAAAGTGATTGAACAAAGGAGAGGGGAGGTAGAAAAGGAAAAAATAAATGTAAGTACAATCAACTAATATAAAAGAACATATTCCATTTTGCAAAAGCAAGAGTTAAAGACACACAGAATGTAAGTAACACCTCATGTAAGTAACCACCAGTATTTAGCCAAACCATCTTATCAATGGAAAAACATCAGTAATGAGACTTTATATTATCTACAAATATTGATGTATAACAGTAGCATACTTAAAAATATTTTAACAAATCTTGCACTTCACAAGCTTGTTTATTTCTTTTACTAAGCCCAAATTTAAAGATAAACACCAGAAAATAAAGTCTTTTACAAAAAAATGATATAGTAACCAATTCAAATCAAAATGGGTGGAACATAAAGTGCAATTTCCACTAACTAAAAAATAAATGGAAAGAAAAGACTGTATGTAAAAATATGCCAGCAACTGAAACACTTACGGGCTCTCCACGATGTCCTTCTTGTCCAGGAGATCCAGGCTGTCCAACTTCCCCCTTTAAAATGAAAAAGATTGTTAAGTACCATATTCACAAGGGGCTTTCTTTTGCATAAAAAATAATGATTTTAAACAGTAAGTTATCAATTTTTTTTTATAAGTAAAATGTAAAGCAAGCTCAAAGCTTCAGCAAACAAATGTCTTAAAACAGTTTCAAACACACAAGACATCAATCCAGAATTCTCCCATGCTGTGTCCAACAGTTAAACAGTTTGCAAAAAGAGATGAGAGAGAGAGAACTGTCTTTTGAAATTTGAGAAGAGTTGAATCAGAACAGCAGTTACTCGTTCAAGGTCATTTAACAATAATAAATTATTCTTGCCTAATTGCAAATACAACTAATAGTCTGAAAACAATTTCAAAACACTTCAGAACTACAGTAGTACCAGATATGATCAAATCTTTATGTTCTTACTCAAAATATGTATGATCCCCCTAAATATTCTGAAAATTGAAAAAATAATTCCAAAAATAAAAGTATATAAAACAGATGCACAGATCAATTATATATATAAAAATAATCTAGTAATAATTGACATTGAATTACAAAGATATGGTCTTGAAGTCACAATGAGTAGCATCTGAGTTGTCAGCCATGCTTTTTTTCTAAATTCTTTTCCAGAATGAATATTGTAAAACAAAAAGAAAGCTCTAGCAGAAATTTCCTTCAAAGTCAGCCTGTTTGTTACTGCTCTGAGTTTGATTATGGACCCAGAATGAAGCAATGTTTTAAAGCAAGCAGATGTTGAATTCAAACTGACAAGATGTTTGAATGAAGAACATAACTTCTGTTAACTATTATATTCTAAAACAAAAACTAATGAGTTGTCATATTTTTGTACTACAGTAATTAGATCAAGAAAATAGTCAAGAAAATGTCTTTTAGTTTAAATGTACACAGGTTCATGTAAGTAATATACTGCATTATCTCTACATTGTTTAGAAGCATAAAAACATATCAATATACTCTCCAAATTCATGCTTTATCAACATAATACTCCACTCTAAAGGATGTTAAAGTGTGTGACAGTTAAAATTTTATGTTAAACAACCTTAAGTATTACCTTTCCATGTTATCAAAAACCAGAGAGGAAAACATCAAATTGTTTTTCTATTTCCTATAATAACAGACAAGGAATTTCTCCACCAGCTGAGCAGAGATATCTGCACATATATAGTGAAAATACGGAATAATTCATTTGAAATAAAGATGTGAATTGCTATCACAACCAGCAGAAGTATAGTCAAGGCAATTGACAGCCTCGATTCAGCTGATCAGTCACCAAGAGATCAATTTCATTGCCCGCACATGGATATTTGGTCACATTTGAGATACTCAAGCTTGTCTTGTATAGACATCCTGGGCTTCTACTCCCACTCCAGAAAGGCATTGGCTTTCCATAGGATTTAAGTCATATTTGTCAGCTCCCTTATGATGCTTTGGACACTCTAATGCATCTCAAATAGCACTAGATGCTTTTATGTAGGCTACTAAGCTGGTCTTCCTTCTTTGAGCTGAAATGCTCACCAGACTCCACTGGCATAACTGATTAGGCCTCCAATGGCTTCAATGAAAACACAGTATGTCCATGGAGCCAAATTAGCGAAATGTTTTAAGAACATCTGTTAAATTGTCTTGGGATGACATATATGCCACTGTGAGAGTCATACTGTTGTAGATATACATTAATAATGACAATTTGTATGCAAGTATAAATGGGATTCAAAGACTAAAATTAAATCAATGCAGGAGTTTACCTACTGTAAAATTTAAATTTTATATGTACATATTAAAGGCTGTTATTTTAGATATGTTCTCCTAACAAATTTTTGAATTGCAGAATGCTTAATTGTACATTGAAGTTGGGCAACTTTTAGACTAACAGTGCTGTATTGTTGTATACAGGTGTTAATTTTAAACCAACTCTCCTCTTTAACTTCTAATTAAGACATATACATGCATTTTTCTACCAGAATATGTTAGGCACCTAAGATCTCATTACAGCCAAGAGGGGTTTGATACAGTTACCTTGTGCCATTTGAGGTGCTGTAAGGCAGCCAAGGCTTCCACCTTAGACCAGCAGCTACCACCTACAGAAGGCCTGCATCCTTCTGAAATGGCACTTACAGGTCTCCCGGGATATTCAAAAGCAGCAAAGAACACTGCAGACTTATGAGTGGTCTCAGCAGTTAAGAGTCAGTAGCTGAATCACTCTAAACAATCAATTAGAGCTTGATTCAGTTGTAACATATAGGCAATGTAGAGCCATTTCATGCTGCAAATAAGAGTGATATTTTTTTCACCATAAAGACAGTCCATGACAGAACAATCTGCTCAGGGTAGTTGTGTTGTTTCCATTCTTGGCTGAGGATGGAGATGCCCCAAGGATAAGCAAATCTCTGATTATCACTCTCAAAACTACTGTCCCAGTTCACAAGCCAACTGAAATCAATGAAGTCTGCCCGGTCACTACAGTAAACTTTAGCATTTCCAGCAACATGTATTGTTTCAATTCCCAGTTATTCTCCACTCAAGATACATATGAATATGTATTTGTATTTACCTTGAAACCAGGAATTCCTGGTAATCCATCTTTCCCACTTCTGCCAGGGTCTCCCTGTGGCAACAGTTAACAGTCATCAGTAAGTAAATTAACAAACAGAAGTTAAAGGTAAATTGTCGTGGCACAACTTACAGATCGCCCAGGCATTCCTGGAAACCCGGTATCACCTTTCTCTCCCTTGGAGCCCTGAGAAATGCAACAAGTGAGAATTAAGTAGTACTAAATGTCTGTGTTAAAAATTCAGCATATTTAATCAGCATATTCATATACATTATTTTTTATGTTGAAAAATTTTGGAAGATGTTTTTCTTCCTTAAAACAAACAGTAGTTGATTAATAATTATGACCCATCACACAAGTGCAAATATGCTGTAAAAAGCCTTTGCAATATTATTATTATTATATATCAACCATATTAAAGGCACGGGCATATTTGCAAAAATATTTATTTAAAGGTATTTGGTGTTATATTAAAATGTATTACATAAATACAGAATGACAGAAGTATGAAAAGGGTTCTCATGATATCTAAATAAGCAGAATAGGAGTCTAATGTTACTAGACAAAAGTGTATCTTCAGTAGAAGGATTTCTGAATTAGTTAATTAACTCTGAATTTACAGAATTAAATTCTGTATTCTTATAAGACATAAATGATATTGTATTGGTGTCCAGGAGTTGGTAGCGGGGAGCTGCAGAGCAGCGTTTGTGAAGAGAAGCTGGGGCTGCCCCATGCAGGACACAGCTGATTCCAACAGCCCCACCACAGGGCCCAGCTGGGCCCAGCAGCCAAAGTGGTGGTGCCTCTTGGAAATGTATTTAAGAATGGGTAAAAATGCTGCGCAGAAGTGAGAAAAAAATGTGAGGAAAAAAACCTGTAGACATAAAGGTCAGTGAAGAGGAAGGGGAGGAAGTGCTCTAGGCACCAGAGCAGAGATTACGCTGCAGACCATGGAGAGAGCCAAGGTACAGCAGATATCTGCACTAAAGCCACAGAGCACCCCATCCAGAGAAGGTGGGTATTTCCTGACATGAACAGCAGCCCATGGAGAACCCTCTTCCCATGGAGAACCCCTGGAGCAGGGGATAAGTCTGAGGAGGAAGGAGTGTGAAACAGAAACTGACCACAAGCCTTATTTCACCACCACCCTTGTGCTGCTCATGGAGGTGGGGAAGGAGGTTGAGGGATTGGCAATGAAGGAATGAAGTTGAACCTAGGAAAAAGGTTGATGAGGGAAAGGTGTTTTAATTTTTGTCTCTGTTTCTCACTATCCCAACCTATTTTAACTGGAAATAAATTAAATTAATTTTCCCCATGTTGAGTCTGTTTTGCCTGTGAAAGTAACTGCTAGGTGATCTCCCTGTTTTTATCTTGACCTAAAAGCCTTTTAATCTTATTTTCTTATCCAGTCTTGTTGAGGAAGAATAACAGAGCAGCTGAGGGGGTCCTCTAGCAGCCTGCCATGGTAACTCCACCACAAGTATCAACCATGTTGTTGTTTTAATTTATAATTTTACTTGCCTTTTTTCCATATATTCCTGGCACTCCTTGATCTCCTTTAGGACCCCTTTCTCCCTACACAAAATGAATGCGTATAAGTTAATTTTTTTAAATCAAAGTAGTTTCAAACAGATATATATACAAAGAAACATAGATAACAGACATAAAATGAAGGAGGCAAAGAGCTCCTTCTGATATAAAGAAAGAAAACTATCAAGACAGTGAATGCAAATTTTGAATTTTCCAAGCTTTCCTAGGAGCCCAGGCTATCCAACACCACTGATGAGACAATCCACAGATATCAGGCATAGTGCTTCTGCTTTCAATGGAAGCTGAGCAGAAGGCACTCTGTTTCCTGTCATTTTGTATAGGTAGGTACCTAAGAGAAAATCAGCTCTTTGAAAATTCCTGCACTTTTGTGGAGACCTTATCTGAAAAGTCTGAAACACAAATTTGGAAAAACTAAGAAGTAATTGAGCTGAATACTAACAAAGAAGAGCAAAAATATGTTTGATGATGTTGTGGGGAAGAAACATGAAAAAATAAGCTCTGGTCAGATTGGAACTACTCTTCAAAATACCACCCCTCAAATCGAAAAACTTCAAGAAAATTAAATAATTATTTTTAAGGTCCTGGTACACTACTTGTGATGTAGAAGAGTACTATTACAATCAAATTTTAAAGTAATTCACATAAAATCCAACAGAACAGAACAAAAATGAAAAAAGTCAGTTTCCATTGATTGATACATACTTAATCAATGCCTACAGCATGTTTCACCCTTCAATTTCAACATCTTATCTATTTATTTTATGTATTTCATTAAGTACATCAGTATTGTATATATAAACATTCATTTATTAAAAACTTTCATGTATTAAAACATTCATTTCATTTATTAAAACATTCATTTTTTAAAAACTAAACTACAGAATGAATGGAGATATATGAATATTGGAACAAGTATTTAATTTCAACCTTTGGTGCAGGCATGCCATGTAATCCAGGAAAACCAGGTAGTCCACGATCACCCTGAAAGAACAAACATATTTGAAATCATTATGTCGAAAATAATAGTAATATAGGCTACAACAGCACTCATAATCTAAACAATCAACAAATAGAGGAAAAATGTTACATATCATGATACCTACGACATAATATTGGTATGCTGACTGATTAGTTTGTTGATCTTTAGACAAGATTTAAGACAGAAAAGAAAAAAGTAACCAATCACTAAACTTTTTAAAATGGATTTTACTGTAATCTCTCAATAAAGGTTGCTGAGGTTCCAAAGCAGCAACTAAGCTCTTTGAGAAGTGGGAAGAAAAAAAAAAAAAGGCATGCAAAAAGAATGCACTTTGCTAGAAGCAGTTGCAAGTGAAAACACAAGCCAAAATAACAGTTTTATTTATTGTCCTCTGCTGTCAAATGTCAGGAGTTCCCAAATTTTTGGTATTGGTACTAAGGATATTTATCTGACAATTTATCTGCAAGTTCTCTTGAACTATTACAACAAAAGGCTTAATTCTAACTTGGCAGAACCTAACTTGAAACAATAAAAACAAAATAAGTTGCTTATTTTATATAAGTAGACCGGACCTAATTCTCTCAGGACAGAGCCAATCACCAAATTGTTTTTGAACAATAACAGTGTTATCTCTCTGTTAATATCGAACTTTAAATGGAGCAATATATTTCAATTTGTTTAACATACTTCAGTCACAAGAAAAGAATAGTAAATTATGCTCAGGAAGTTATTTTACATAATGTTTCAAGTTCCGAGCCAAAATACAAAAAATACAGTGGCATTTATCAAAACCATCCATGTCTACAGGGATTTGTAGAGGTCTATCACATTTACAGAAGACAGGGACATGACCACAGGAATGACAGAATGTGGGTTAAAGCAATCAAAGTATCTTTCAACAAGTAAGTATTGAAAGAAGGCAACAGAAATTGAATGCAGTTCAAAAAAAATCAGCAAAACTTATAAAATAAACCTTTCATGCATATATTGCTTCTTACTGAAAAAGAATGGAGCCCCAATTTCTGCTCAGAAGTGGTGATTCAATTATTAGATAAAATAACATATTTGGCAATGGATATAGTTTTCAATTAGTTGCTGTAGAAACCTCACAAGTAATGGGATGAAATTAAGAGATGAAAATTTGGGCTGAATCATCAGGAAAAAAAATCTAATGGCAAAACATACTTTATGGTGGAAGAAGTTTTCTAAAACATTGGTGGAAGCCCTATTTCTTGGCATATTTTAAACAGGGCTGGACTGAGCATTAGGAAATATTCTATCTGTCACAACTCTGCACTGCCAGGAGAATGTTGCTTTTTGTCAGCAGTACATTTCTTTCTGCATATGGCCCAATACTGACTTATCAATTAGATTAACATAAGATCCCTGAAGCAACAGAATACATAAGTACATTTTTCAGCTTTAATAATGCATTTGAGAATTCTGCTGAACAGTTGTGAATTCAAGGACTTCTAGGATGCTTTTAGGATTGGGAACACTAGAAGAAGGAAATTCTTCAGTAAAATCTGTTTGGAAAACAAGATTTCATTTAAAAAAAAAAAAAAAGAGAGCTTGAAGTTTGAACAAACCAAAAAGAAAATAAGTTAAATAAGTTTGTATCACAATGGACTTTAAACTTTTCTAAACGTATTTCTCATAGGGCAAAAGTGTGACAGAAGGTTGGACACAAATACTCACATATCAAGAAGACTTGCCAATAGCCAGAGGTTGTGCATATGGGAGATCCAGATTCAAGTTTATCCTGATTACCAGAAGGGAGTTTATATATAAGCTTCCACATCTGTCTGCAGTTCCAAGCTACTGGCTACACCTCAGCTAGATTTTTTCCACAAAATGTTTTGGTTTCAATTAGTCAGTGTTTTCTGGTTAAAAAGTGTCACCCAAAAATTCTTATCTAGCTCATCTGGATGCTCACTCAAAGAGGGAAAGGGTGAAAAGAGACAAAAAGAAACCATTCTGACAGATGTCTGTATCATGCTTCCAGGTACACATATTTAGATGTTTTCTAAATATAAAATATTCAGTGCAATAAAGGTATTACTAGCAGTGCTAACAGCTATATAATTTTTATTAAATAAAGCAGACCAGATTCAAAATTGAGGTGACATTTTAAATTTTGGATTCTTATTACCTTAGCCCCATCTTTCCCTGGCTCTCCCTTGATACCTGGTAAGCCACGTGGTCCCTAAGAGAAGAAAATAAATGAAAAAACAGCTCAAATATTAACACACAGTCCTACAGAATGAGACTCAGAAATGTAATGCAATGTGACCCAGGGAACAATCCCTGAATTGGCTGATCACAGTATTTTGGTAACTGGATACCAAAGCAGAAACAACACGAAATGTATCCAGTGTGAGACTATGCCCCACTGTCATAACCCATGACTGGGGAATACCAAAACAATTCTTTGCTCTAACTGAGAAGTACGCCAGGCAGATACGATTGTCACACAGACTGTACCAATGTCCTCTTCCTTTCAAGTGTCCATCAGAAAGCCTTCACATATGCCATGATGCAGCCTGGCTCTTGGCCCTGGCATGCTTTCAGATGCTTAATTCAATAAATTAACATGTACTCAAGTATTCAGCCAGAACGTATTATGATACACATACATGTAAAATACAGCACTGGTTTACTGTAACTGTTCTAGTCAGTGCTCCTAAATTTCTACTCTGAAGAAGAAAAAGAAGTCTCTTCAGTCAGTCTTTGATGTGTTTGGATATGTGAATTGTGGGGAATCAGAGAATCACAGAATGGTTGAGGTTGGAAGGGACCTCTGGAGGCCATCTCGTCCAAACCCCCTGCTGAAGCAGAGACACCTAGAGCAAATCAATCCTCATGACATGGCTTAAGATGACTGTTACTGATCCAAAGAAAAATAGATAGAACCACTGTTTGGCTTCTAGATCAGGATGAAAATGTCCACACCCCAGCTCCTGCTGCTACAGACCTTGACAAGCAATGATTAGATTTGCAGTCTAACTGATAGCCTAACTACAAACCCCAAGGCCATGTGAGTATCAAAGCAATTCATCCAAAGATTGCCCCTGACTTCATGTAACCCCTTGAGCCTTATACTTCATACTGCAACTCTCATTGATAAATAATGAATACTGAGAGAGTTGGCAGCATTTGGAATCAAAGAACAGCTGCCAACCAGTGCCCCCAGGTCCTTGCCTGCTGGGCAGCTTTCCAGCCACTCTTCCCCAAGCCTGTAACGCTGCATGAGGTTGTTATGAACCAAGTGCAGGACTCGGCACTTAGCCTTGATGAATGTCCTGTGACTGGACATGGCCCATCGATCCAGCCTATCCACATTCCTCTGTAGAGACTTCTTATCCTCAAGAAGATAATTTATTTCAGATTTCCAAACTGCAGGAATGAAATAGGAACTTACTTGAACCCCTGGAGTTCCTGGGATACCTGGAGTTCCTGCTGATCCTTGATATCCCTAAGGAAAAGGAATCAAGACTTGTGACTTTTCAAAAGATATATTCACAAATTTTCAAACATTTACTTAAGGAAAACAAACAAACACCACACACACACACACACACACACAAAAAAAAAAAAAAAAAAGCAATCCTCCTAGTTACTGGACAACTGTAATCACAATTGTGGCATTTTAGATCACAAAAAAATCAGTAAGTGCTATCACAATCTTACTTTTGAGATTTAGATTTAAGAAGTTTTAATATCTGCACCTGAAATTTGCAGCCTCCAAACTTTATGCCAAGTGATTTTTTTCAGGCAAGAAGGAAAATCCATTATTTTAAAATTGTTACATGGGAATGTAACAAACATATTGTTTTATTCACCATTGTTCAAAAAAAAAAAAAAAAAAAAAAAAGGAACAAATTAATGCACATATGCAGACACTTTTTTTCCTCTCTCTCTTCACAAAAGTAGGTGAAGAATGCCAAGACTCTTAAAGGCTTATTTCTAGTTACAGGAAAAAGCTTTAACAAATAAGGCATGTTCTAATACATTATGCAGCTAGTTTTATAATATCTCTAAATAATCATAGAATGGTTTGTGTTGGAAGGGAACTTTAAAGATCATCTAGTCCAACCTCCAAATAAAAATAAAAAATCCAGTAACAATAAAAATTCCATTCTCAATACTAAGCATTTAGCTATTAGCTTAAAGGTACATATCAATGTATACGAGTGAAAAAAAAGCAGTCTGAATGACTGGGACTAGGAAAAGAAATACTAAATAATTCATGAGTCAAAAGGAGAACTTCAGGAATGCTTTACTAGAAATCAGCATTTGCAGAACCTTGACAGAACCCCAAATATATGCCTGAGGTGTACTGGTAAATTGCAGTCAGTATGTACTGCAAGAATAGCCAGTTTTCTACGCAAAACTAACCAGTGCTTCAAAAGAATGCTTTAACAGAGGAAGTAAGTGAAGAATGGGGAATTCTAGCTAATTGCATTAAGAACATGTCATTCCAATAGACAAAATGATCTACAAGGAGAGGGTTTTTTTGTTTGTTTGTTTTTGTGCATATGCATGTGTTTTGAGAAAATATAGTAAATGAGAAGATAAATTGTCCTATAAAATTCTGAGGCTGAGACCTTTCAACAGACAGCCCAAACTAAATGGAAACATTATGGCGTTTGATAAATCCCAGAAAGCAGACTATCCAATTTCAGCTACCCAGAATTTGATCCTGGTTTGACCTGAAAGAACTAATAATCCCATTTCTAGTGAATGAGCTTCAGTTTTAAAAACCAAGGACAAAATGTAATGGCGGGATTCCCACACTGGTACAGAGGAGCTAATAGAATCTTTTCAATACAAGGAGGGCAACCTGTACGTCTGATTTCTTCTTTAAATCAGTTATAGCAGCCTGGAAATAATAATCAGAGCTAAAATTATTTCCTGGGTTAGATACAAGAGAGTACTTGCTGTGCCCTCTTCCCAAAAGATGTTTGAGCAGATGCCCAAAGAACCAGCTGGTAATGGTTAGTATAGAAGTAAACAGAATTCTAGGTCTCTGTCCTACATGGATTCTTTATCAAGCAATTCACTTTTACTGCTCAAGGCAGTTCTAGCAAAATCAGCTTTAACTGTAAATGGTGTAGCATTCCATGATTGCTTATAAGCCTCCTGGGTAGCTGAAACAATTCACCAAGCCAAAAATGCCTTTAAAAGTTCATCCTTTTATTTCTGCTCCAAAAAAAGCAAAAAGTTTGGATTTCTTCCTGTAGGATATAGTCCTATATAAATAAAACTTTATTTCACATTTTAGATCTCTGAAATGCAATTTCCCTTCCTTCTTCTAACTGAGTAGGAGAAGAAATAGAGGAGGATAATTTCCTGGCTGAACTAAATTTCAAGATTCGCAAGATGAATGGAGGATGGCAGAAGAGTTTTCAGCTTACAAAACCACATCTTTAGCTCAGAGCTAGATCTTGTAATGTGATCTCAGAGCAAATCAAGCATGTGTTCAGTGTGTTTGTTCAATGGAATCTGCAACAGAGAAGATTCGAAAGGAAATTCATAGAAAGATACAAAACTGAGAATCAATGTCTGATAAAAATAACCTAGCAATTGTTTGGACAAGTTAAAAACACCTTCTATAAATTATGGCAAACAATTTTCATAAAAACTGATTGTCCTTTTGCATTACCACTTCTTTTTCCAGTTATCAGAGAGAAGCAGTTCCTATATCACTGACAATTTGCATAGCCTCCTTTTGTTCCCTTTCATTAACCTAATTGCACACTTATTTGTCACTCACAAAACTCCGATTTAAAAACACATATTCTAAACGGCAAATGTAGTATGGGTCATCAAACTATATGCTAAGACCTACATTTTTCTGCTGTAAAGTCAGATTAAGCCTTCCTTCCTCACAAAGCTCTCAACAGAAGAATGTATACATATGTATGCTCCAAGACCAGCTGTGCCATAGCTGACATTTTGTTAGATGGTCAGAGGTGGAAGTTCACTTTTCATTTGACTGCAGAGATAGTTCAGAACTGCAGACTCACCTTCAGATAAGGTGAAAACACTACATTTGCCACTAAATAGAATTCTTTTAGTCTGGGCTTGGTTTTCTCCCATAACCTCCTCGGAAGTTCAAAAAAATGTTGTGGAAAGAAAGCTATTGTTGCTACCCCTGAACTTAATACTAAGTTCTGAATTCTGTGGCCTAAACATAGGCATCTCCTGCCTTTTGATATTCCCTAGACACCTACACAGTGCTAGAAGAAAGAGGCACAAAATACTTGGAAGGCATTCACTCTTTTGAAGTAGCAGCTGTAAGCAAGACAGCCCCATGGCACGAGAACCCCATACCTCTTAGTATAGTAGTTAAAAATCTGTCCATTAATAGGGGAATTTAGACGCCAAGTGTCCCTGCACACACGTAAACCCTATATGTAGGTGTGTTAAACTGAATTCCACCTGTAATGTTTCATCAATGCTGTGCAACAGCACTAATTCACAGCACTTTATGTTCTCATTATTTTTCACCAGTGCAACTGATCACATGAAATCTCCCTCTCAAGCTGTTGTGGACGGGAACAGAACTGATAAATTAAATGTGCCTGAAAACTTGTGAAGGCAAAATTGTAAACAGCAAGATACCAAGATCCTTAGGTACCAGATGGCTGGGTATTAAAAAAAAAACAAAAAAACATAAATTCATTTTAGTACTTTAATAGCATGACAGCAATTTATAAATAATTCTAAGGGGAAAAGCTGAGCAGATTACTTAGGCCAAAGAACTTAATAAAGGACACAGACAAATTTGCAATACCAACACTGTCAGTGAATTAAGAATCTTGCTGGGAAAGGTGGCTTATTTGTAAGGGGAAAAAATGACCTAGAAGGGCATATGACAAAATTAGTCATTATTTCCAAAGATGTTTTAAATGCAATAGAAGAGTAAATGTCTGAAGTACATCTTCAATGCACTTGGCTGCCAAAGGACAGAAGTTTAGACAGTATGGGTATATCACATTTGAAAAATAAAATAAAATAAAATAAAATAAAATAAAATAAAATAAAATAAAATAAAATAAAATAAAATAAAATAAAATAAAATAAAATAAAATAAAATAAAATAAAATAAAATAAAATAAATAAAATAACTGATAAGACAATGCAATTTGCACTGTGCACTTCCTTATTGAAAAGCTTTTGGAGTTATGGAACAACATAAATTATAATGGGATTACAACAGGACTACTTGGGAAAGACATGGAAGAAGTAAACAAGCTCCATTTGGCTAGGAAATAAGCAAGGATCAACCAAGGATCAAGTAATGGTCTAAAGATATTTAAGGACTGTAAACACTAAGTAAACAGAACTATTTAGGGTGATGTAACTAATCATAATGGAATTCATTTGTGAAAGAAAATTTTGACTTCATGTTCAGAAAACATCCCAGCAGAGAGGTCTGCAGACCCCTTGTGAAAGTCTCTTTGCAGAAAATCTTTACTACTTTTAAAACAGCTATCTAAAGTGTTACAAGAAAAGGTTTCAAACCTTATTAATTAAATAGATTACATGTTAAAGGAGAGAAAGTCCTACAGCTATTCAAACGCATCCACGCCTACACTCACTTAGCAGCCATGGTATGACCTTATTCCTCATTGGCAATATCTCTTCAGCAACTAAAATCCTGTGAGGTTACAGAAATGTTAGAAAGAACTTGATGTATTTGAATGAAATGTTTCATCCTTTCTCTGAGAAGTTGTCTATCATCTAAACCTTTTGCCTTAGGTCCTTCATCCTTCTTTTCTCAAGGAGCTTTTTTCCTTTCCTCCCCCCAAACAACCTACTCTAACACTCCTCTGCCTGTACTCATCTGCCTACTGCTGCTCTTTTCCTTCCCCTCTGGACATGTTGGATCATAAAGGTTGAAAAAGACCTCCAAGATCATCTGGTCCACCCATCCACCTACCACCAATGTCACCCATGGTCACCAACCATATCCCTAAGCACCACGTCCTACCTTTCCTTGAACACCCCCAGAGATGGTGACTCCACCATCTCCCTGGGCTACCTGTTCCTCTGAGGGACCCAAAACTGAACACAGTACTCAAGGTGTGGCCTCACCAGAGCAGAGTACAGCCAGACGATCACCTCCCTGGTCCTACTGGCTACACTATTCCTGATACAAGCCAGGATGCTGTTGGCCTTCTTGGCCACCTGGGCACACTGCCGGTTCATGTTCAGGTGAGCATCAATCAGCAGCTCCAGATCCTTTTCCTCTGCACAGCTTTTGAGCCACTCTCCCCCAAGCCTGTAGCATTGCATGGAGTTGTTGTGGCCAAAGTGCAGGACCCGGCACTTAGCCATGTTGAACCTCATCCCATTGGCCTCTGCCCATCTGTCCAGGTTCCCCTGCAGGGCCTTCCTACCCTCCGGCAGATTGACACTTCCCCCCAGCTTGGTGTCATCTGCAAACTTACTGAGGGCGCACTCAAT